CGCTATCTTTAGCTCTGCTCCTTCGGCTTTGGGCCCAAGTGCCTGCGGGAGGCTGCTCCCCAGTTCAGCCTGGGGTCCCTGACACATAAAGCCCCTTCCTGTGTCCCAGAAACGAGGCCCGGTCATCGAGGCCCATCCAGGCCCCCCGCCCGACCTCGCCCACCTCCCGCTGGGTCTCCATCTCACTCCCAGCTCCAAGGAAGCCCCCCGGAGAGGGCTGCTGCTGGGGGTCCCCAGCGCCCGGGCCCCCACCCAGGGCTGTCCCAGGGGCTGGCCCCAACGGTGCCTGTGCCCGGCCCCAGCCGCCCGCGGCCTCACCTAGCGTCGGGCTGCGTGGGGAGCGAGGTCGGCTGGCAGTGTTGCCTGGGCTGGTGGGCCCGGGAGGGGTATAAATGTCCTCCCCCAGGCTGGGCCCCTGCTCAGAAAGGACATGGAGCCCTCCTCAGACCAATGGGGGCACAGGGCCCTCCCCACCTGCCCAGACCGCCTGGCCCGGCCCAGCCACATGCTGCCGTCCAGTCCAAGAAGTCTTGGGGGGTGGGGGTGCCGAGGTTGGGTTGCTCTATTTAGGGATCAGTGACGAGTTCGAGAAGCTCCTGGTTCTTGCAAGGAGCCTGCAGGCAGCTGTGCGTGGCCTGGCTGGGCTGTGGGGGGAGCACGGCTCAAGGGTCAACTGAGGGGCCCCTGGACTCAGGCCCCCCTGGGTCCTATGTCGGGATCCAAGGCACAGTGTTCCCCTGGCCCCCCCACCGCCTCTCCTGCAGCTCCCTGCTCCCCTTTCAGCCCAGGGGCATCGCTGCCACAAGCTGGCCGGCCCCCCCTTTCTCCAACCCGGCTCCAAAGCCCGGCCTGGACCCCAAACAGGCCTCTGGGCCTGCAGCAGCACCAGGGGTCTCGGGCGGGGACGTGAACCCGCCTTCCCGCCCGGAGCAGGCACGGGGGCGCCCTGGACGTGCAGCCATGCAGGAACGCCCCACCCAGAGCTGTTCCCACACAACTCAGAACACTCCCTTCCAGAAGGGGTGGTGGGCCCCTGCCTGGAACGCTCCAACCCGCGGGCTGGGGCCCAGGCAGCCCCCACCCAGCTCAGGCATCCGGAGGACCATGACTTGGCTGCCTCAGAGCTGGGGGTGCGGCCCCAGCTCGGGGCGTGGGGAGGGTCAGGCAGAGCTGAAGCCCCAGATGTGGGGGATTAGAGCTGCATTCCTTCCCGCCAGGCTGGGCCCCCAGAGACCCGCGCGGCTTCCGAAGGCTTCTACTGCCCCCTGCTGCTCGCTCAGGGCGACCCTGCAGCCGCCGCCCAAAGGTTTGGGGGCCGAGAGGAGCCGTGCGGGGCCCTGGGGTTGGGTCTCTTCCTTCCCGCAGCGCCCCCCAAATGCCTCCCGATTGCCCACCACGTCCTGTGGTGCCACCTCCAGCCCACCTCCCCTCACTCACACTGTCTCTAATGCTGCAACCCCAGACAGGAGGGCTCCCCCGTCCGGTGTTGTCCTCCTTGGGCGTGGAGGGACCCCCTCACCGCCCCCAGGGGTCAGGCAGAAGCCGCAGGGCCTGGATGAGTCTGGAGAGGGGACCTTCTCCTCCTGGCCCTTGGCAGGCGTCCCCGAGGGCACAGGCAGGACACACGGTGGTGGTGGGGGAGACGTTATTGCAGCAGGACCCGCGGGGCCTGGACAGGCCCACAAGTCAGTGCAGGGAGCTCACGGCACCGGGTGCTGTCAGGAGCCAGGCAAGGGCAGGCGCCGGGGGAGGGCTGCAGGCCCAGGGCCTGGTCCACCTCCCCGGCGGGCCGCAGGCGGTGCCACTGGGCGATGGGCCGCCCGGCATGGGCCAACATGTCCACCCAGAGCTGCAGGGGCTGGCTGGAGGCCCGGGCTCCCAGAGCCACCTTACCCACGGGCTCGGCCCAAAGCCGCGGGCCCCGGGCCCAGATGGCCAGCACCAGGTCCACACTCTGGGCAGAGATAGGCAGAGGTGCGGTGGAGGGGAGAAAGACAGCGGTCAGTTTGGCCCCCAGGGAGGACCTGCCCCCTCCTCCAGGCAGCCTACCAGGATCTGGCTGAAGGGCACGAGGAAGGTGAAAGTCTCATTGAAGTAGGGGGCGGCCGTGCCCTTCCGGGCAGACGTCCTGCTCGTCTTCCACTTCCTCCAGTTCAGCATGAGCTGGACCTTCACGTAGGGCTCTGGGCAGAGGGAAAGGGGTCACAGGGGTCGTGGGTCTGACCGCTGAGCCCTGTGCTCCCCCTGAGGGGACGAGGAGGGGGGGTTCTCACCTGCCAGCTCCAGGCTCAGGCCCCGGGCCTCCAGCACGACCACCGTCAGCCGGCCGGAGCCGGGCACGTACTGCAGCGAGAAGCACAGCTCCCCCATCTGCTCAGCCTGCGGGTACGACAGGGGCTCGGTCTCCCTGCTGGCACCTCAGGCAGGCCCGGGCCAATGCCAGGCAGTCAGCACCCTTACTTCGGTGGTGCCCGGGGGGCCCAGCTGGCACCAGAGTTCCAGGAGGTG